TTTTGTATACTGCCGTTCGCCTCTGTTGTTTGTGTATACTGCCGTTCGCCTCTGTTGTTTGTGTATACTGCCGGTCGCCTCTGTTGTTTATGTATACTGCCGTTCGCCTCTGTTGTTTGTGTATACTGCCGGTCGCCTCTGTTGTTTGTGTATACTGCCGTTCGCCTCTGTTGTTTGTGTATACTGCCGTTCGCCTCTGTTGTTTGTGTATACTGCCGGTCGCCTCTGTTGTTTGTGTATACTGCCGTTCGCCTCTGTTGTTTGTGTATACTGCCGTTCGCCTCTGTTGTTTGTGTATACTGCCGTTCGCCTCTGTTGTTTGTGTATACTGCCGTTCGCCTCTGTTGTTTGTGTATACTGCCGGTCGCCTCTGTTGTTTGTGTATACTGCCGTTCGCCTCTGTTGTTTGTGTATACTGCCGTTCGCCTCTGTTGTTTGTGTATACTGCCGTTCGCCTCTGTTGTTTGTGTATACTGCCGTTCGCCTCTGTTGTTTGTGTATACTGCCGTTCGCCTCTGTTGTTTGTGTATACTGCCGTTCGCCTCTGTTGTTTGTGTATACTGCCGTTCGCCTCTGTTGTTTGTGTATACTGCCGTTCGCCTCTGTTGTTTGTGTATACTGCCGGTCGCCTCTGTTGTTTGTGTATACTGCCGTTCGCCTCTGTTGTTTGTGTATACTGCCGGTCGCCTCTGTTGTTTGTGTATACTGCCGTTCGCCTCTGTTGTTTGTGTATACTGCCGTTCGCCTCTGTTGTTTGTGTATACTGCCGTTCGCCTCTGTTGTTTGTGTATACTGCCGTTCGCCTCTGTTGTTTGTGTATACAGCCGTTCGCCTCTGTTGTTTGTGTATACTGCCGTTCGTCTCTGTTGTTTGTGTATACTGCCGGTCGCCTCTGTTGTTTGTGTATACTGCCGTTCGCCTCTGTTGTTTGTGTATACTGCCGTTCGCCTCTGTTGTTTGTGTATACTGCCGTTCGCCTCTGTTGTTTGTGTATACTGCCGTTCGCCTCTGTTGTTTGTGTATACTGCCGTTCGCCTCTGTTGTTTGTGTATACAGCCGTTCGCCTCTGTTGTTTGTGTATACTGCTGTTCGCCTCTGTTGTTTGTGTATACTGCCGTTCGCCTCTGTTGTTTGTGTATACTGCCGTTCGCCTCTGTTGTTTGTGTATACTGCCGTCCGCTTCTGTTGTTTGTGTATACTGCCGTTCGCCTCTGTTGTTTGTGTATACTGCCGGTCGCCTCTGTTGTTTGTGTATACTGCCGTTCGCCTCTGTTGTTTGTGTATACTGCCGTTCGCCTCTGTTGTTTGTGTATACTGCCGTTCGCCTCTGTTGTTTGTGTATACTGCCGTTCGCCTCTGTTGTTTGTGTATACTGCCGTTCGCCTCTGTTGTTTGTGTATACTGCCGGTCGCCTCTGTTGTTTATGTATACTGCCGTTCGCCTCTGTTGTTTGTGTATACTGCCGGTCGCCTCTGTTGTTTGTGTATACTGCCGTTCGCCTCTGTTGTTTGTGTATACTGCCGTTCGCCTCTGTTGTTTGTGTATACTGCCGGTCGCCTCTGTTGTTTGTGTATACTGCCGTTCGCCTCTGTTGTTTGTGTATACTGCCGGTCGCCTCTGTTGTTTGTGTATACTGCCGTTCGCCTCTGTTGTTTGTGTATACTGCCGTTCGCCTCTGTTGTTTGTGTATACTGCCGTTCGCCTCTGTTGTTTGTGTATACTGCCGTTCGCCTCTGTTGTTTGTGTATACTGCCGTTCGCCTCTGTTGTTTGTGTATACTGCCGTTCGCCTCTGTTGTTTGTGTATACTGCCGTTCGCCTCTGTTGTTTGTGTATACTGCCGTTCGCCTCTCATGTTTGTGTATACTGCCGTTCGCCTCTGTTGTTTGTGTATACTGCCGTTCGCCTCTGTTGTTTGTGTATACAGCCGTTCGCCTTTGTTGTTTGTGTATACTGCCGTTCGCCTCTGTTGTTTGTGTATACTGCCGGTCGCCTCTGTTGTTTGTGTATACTGCCGTTCGCCTCTGTTGTTTGTGTATACTGCCGTTCGCCTCTGTTGTTTGTGTATACTGCCGTCCGCTTCTGTTGTTTGTGTATACTGCCGTTCGCCTCTGTTGTTTGTGTATACTGCCGGTCGCCTCTGTTGTTTGTGTATACTGCCGTTCGCCTCTGTTGTTTGTGTATACTGCCGTTCGCCTCTGTTGTTTGTGTATACTGCCGTTCGCCTCTGTTGTTTGTGTATACTGCCGTTCGCCTCTGTTGTTTTTGTATACTGCCGTTCGCCTCTGTTGTTTGTGTATACTGCCGTTCGCCTCTGTTGTTTGTGTATACTGCCGGTCGCCTCTGTTGTTTGTGTATACTGCCGTTCGCCTCTGTTGTTTGTGTATACTGCCGGTCGCCTCTGTTGTTTGTGTATACTGCCGTTCGCCTCTGTTGTTTGTGTATACTGCCGTTCGCCTCTGTTGTTTGTGTATACTGCCGTTCGCCTCTGTTGTTTGTGTATACTGCCGTTCGCCTCTGTTGTTTGTGTATACTGCCGGTCGCCTCTGTTGTTTGTGTATACTGCCGTTCGCCTCTGTTGTTTGTGTATACTGCCGTTCGCCTCTGTTGTTTGTGTATACTGCCGTTCGCCTCTGTTGTTTGTGTATACTGCCGTTCGCCTCTGTTGTTTGTGTATACTGCCGTTCGCCTCTGTTGTTTGTGTATACTGCCGGTCGCCTCTGTTGTTTGTGTATACTGCCGTTCGCCTCTGTTGTTTGTGTATACTGCCGTTCGCCTCTGTTGTTTGTGTATACTGCCGTTCGCCTCTGTTGTTTGTGTATACTGCCGTTCGCCTCTGTTGTTTGTGTATACTGCCGTTCGCCTCTCATGTTTGTGTATACTGCCGTTCGCCTCTGTTGTTTGTGTATACTGCCGTTCGCCTCTGTTGTTTGTGTATACAGCCGTTCGCCTTTGTTGTTTGTGTATACTGCCGTTCGCCTCTGTTGTTTGTGTATACTGCCGGTCGCCTCTGTTGTTTGTGTATACTGCCGTTCGCCTCTGTTGTTTGTGTATACAGCCGTTCGCCTCTGTTGTTTGTGTATACTGCCGTTCGCCTCTGTTGTTTGTGTATACTGCCGTTCGCCTCTGTTGTTTGTGTATACTGCCGTTCGCCTCTGTTGTTTGTGTATACTGCCGTTCGCCTCTGTTGTTTGTGTATACTGCCGGTCGCCTCTGTTGTTTGTGTATACTGCCGTTCGCCTCTGTTGTTTGTGTATACTGCCGTTCGCCTCTGTTGTTTGTGTATACTGCCGTTCGCCTCTGTTGTTTGTGTATACTGCCGTTCGCCTCTGTTGTTTGTGTATACTGCCGTTCGCCTCTCATGTTTGTGTATACTGCCGTTCGCCTCTGTTGTTTGTGTATACTGCCGTTCGCCTCTGTTGTTTGTGTATACAGCCGTTCGCCTTTGTTGTTTGTGTATACTGCCGTTCGCCTCTGTTGTTTGTGTATACTGCCGGTCGCCTCTGTTGTTTGTGTATACTGCCGTTCGCCTCTGTTGTTTGTGTATACAGCCGTTCGCCTCTGTTGTTTGTGTATACTGCCGTTCGCCTCTGTTGTTTGTGTATACTGCCGTTCGCCTCTGTTGTTTGTGTATACTGCCGTTCGCCTCTGTTGTTTGTGTATACTGCCGTTCGCCTCTGTTGTTTGTGTATACTGCCGTTCGCCTCTGTTGTTTGTGTATACTGCCGGTCGCCTCTGTTGTTTGTGTATACTGCCGTTCGCCTCTGTTGTTTTTGTATACTGCCGTTCGCCTCTGTTGTTTGTGTATACTGCCGTTCGCCTCTGTTGTTTGTGTATACTGCCGGTCGCCTCTGTTGTTTATGTATACTGCCGTTCGCCTCTGTTGTTTGTGTATACTGCCGGTCGCCTCTGTTGTTTGTGTATACTGCCGTTCGCCTCTGTTGTTTGTGTATACTGCCGTTCGCCTCTGTTGTTTGTGTATACTGCCGGTCGCCTCTGTTGTTTGTGTATACTGCCGTTCGCCTCTGTTGTTTGTGTATACTGCCGTTCGCCTCTGTTGTTTGTGTATACTGCCGTTCGCCTCTGTTGTTTGTGTATACTGCCGTTCGCCTCTGTTGTTTGTGTATACTGCCGTTCGCCTCTGTTGTTTGTGTATACTGCCGGTCGCCTCTGTTGTTTGTGTATACTGCCGTTCGCCTCTGTTGTTTGTGTATACTGCCGTTCGCCTCTGTTGTTTGTGTATACTGCCGTTCGCCTCTGTTGTTTGTGTATACTGCCGTTCGCCTCTGTTGTTTGTGTATACTGCCGTTCGCCTCTGTTGTTTGTGTATACTGCCGTTCGCCTCTGTTGTTTGTGTATACTGCCGTTCGCCTCTGTTGTTTGTGTATACTGCCGTTCGCCTCTGTTGTTTGTGTATACTGCCGTTCGCCTCTGTTGTTTGTGTATACTGCTCTGCTGCACATGTACTTAATGAGCACTGTGCTTCTAGTTGTCTTCACCGGCCTTGTTTTGTACACGTCCTACTCTGCCCTCTGCCTCAGCACTTACACTCCATTATGTAACAGTTTTGTAGACTTTGTTAACACTTTCTCGGTGTGTGTTGCATATTGTGTAAGTGTGGTTTCGTGGCGTGCGTGTTTGCGCGCGGCGTGTGTTTCTGTTGTGTGTGCGTGCTTCCATGTGGTGTGTGCTTCCATGTGGTGTGTGTTTGCGTGGGGTGTTTGTTTGCGTTTGTGTGCTTGCGTGGGGTGTGTGTGTTTGCGTGGGGGGGGGGGGGGTGTTTGCGTGGGCTTTGTGTGTTTGCGTTCGTGTCTTTGCTTGGTGTGTGTTTGCGTGGGGGGGGGGGGGTGTTTGCATGGTGTGTGTGTGTGTGTGTTTGCATGTGGTGTGTGTGTGTGTTTGCGTGGTGTATGTGTTTGCGTGGTGTGTGTGTGTGTGTGTGTGTGTGTGTGTGTGTGTGTGTGTGTTTGCATGTGGTGTGTGTGTGTGTGTTTTATACAGGAGTCTGCTGCAGCCGCTAGCAGTGCTGAGTCATGTGCACCGCATCCATCCCAGGATCACAACTACGACGATATAGAGCTCCCAGCATTCCGTACCAGCACTATGCCATCATCTACCGGTACCACAGCAACTACGCCCGGCTCTGGAAATAGGGTATGTTTTGATGTTTCCAGTGTCTCTTAAACCCTTTCAGACATCAACTACACCCGGCTCTGACAATGACGTATGTTTTAATATTTTCCAGTGTCTCGTAAACCCTTTCAGACATCAACTACACCTGGCTCTGGCAATGAGGTATGTTTTAATGTTTCCCAGTGTCTCTTAAACCCATTTCATACAAGTGTCGAGATATCTCACTTTGTAAAGTGACCCGGGCGCCAGATGACAAGATATCTCGCTCTATTTCTATACACTGCATAGAATACAGTGTCAGTGTCTGCTCCAGCGCCGGGTGAGCCGGGTAATCCACCCGGTTGGGCGGCGCTTGGACCCAGTTGAAAATATAGTACCGGGTCACCTGTGACCCGGTTGGTACTTTACACTTTCGAACTTTGAAAGGACTGACTACATGGCTTGTATGTGTCAGATACTTCTTCTTCTTTCGTAATTTTCTAATTCCTGTCCTCTCTTTTCTAAATGCGGCTTATCCATTCGCCTTTAGATCATTGGGCGTACATGTGTACCCGGCTCCCACCCGGTTGAAATGGTTGCGCCAGGTACACGTGTACCCGGCTGTCCTACAATCCTGGAGCAGACACTGAGTGTATAGAATGCAGTGTATAGAATACACTGTATACTATGCAGTGTATAGTATACACTGCATAGTATACAGTGTATACTATACAGTGTATACTATACACTGTATAGTATACACTGCATAGTATACAATCTATTTCTATGCAGTGTATAGAAATACACTGCATAGTATCCACTGTATACAATACAGTGGATTTCTATACACTGTATAGTATGCACACTGTATTGATCATTGCCCAAGCACTCATAACCCCGGTGATTTGCGGAAGATCTTTTACAAACGATCCACCGCTGGACAGGTATGGAACTCAGCGTTCCAGTGGTGTGAAGTTCTGTGCTTTTGAACCCTTGTTTGATTGAGCAGCGACATCATGAATTGCGAAAATTCAAGTATACGCCATCTGGCGACGAAGAGAAATGTTGCTCTCGATTTCATCTCTTTGAAACCAGTACACACGTTTTGATCTTTGTTTCATTTGCTTGCTACTGTGTTGTGTTGTGTGTGTGTGTGTGTGTGTGTGGTGCTCAGGAGCTGTCTCTTCGTCGCCCCAACAGGTTCCCAGATGCCGCTGTTGAATGCACCACAGCCGACAATAATTATATGACTCCACATGATGTAAGTGTATGTGACCTAACGTATCACATGACCTTAGCTGTCACATGACCTTAGCTGTCACATGACCGATGAAGTATAATACAACAACAACATCAAACAACCTAACCCATCACATGACCTAACCTATCAGGCTACCCGACATGACCTTAGCTGTCACATGACCTTAGCTGTCACATGACCTAACCTATCACATGACCTAACATATTAGGCTAACGCATGACCTAACCTATCACATGACCTAACCTATCAGGCTAACACATGACCTAACCTATCACATGACCAAATCTGTCACATGAACGTCAGGTGGTCGAATGTCAGACATCATTGTGCTGACTGTTGTACGTCATGACTCATCCATATCAAGCTTACACCGTATTTCCTCGATTATAAGTTGCACGCCCATTTTCAGATTTCAGCAATGTTGTTTCCTCATGATCACTTCAGAAGTAAATAATTCTCGATTGTAAGTCGCACCCCCTTTCCCACCCTTGTATTTTTGTGTAAAAAGGTGTAAGACTTCTATCCGGGGAAATACGGTAGTTAAATACGGTAGTTAAATACGGTAGTTGCCAGTGTTGGACAACTACGGTAGTTAAATACGGTAGTTGCCAGTGTTGCACAACTACGGTTAACTTGTGAGCTTTGGTTCTTTCTTTTAAAATTGCAATCCTTGGCTCTCCATCCGAGTTTGTAAACATTGCCAACCTTTCACTTTTCTCTCAGCTCTGTCTTGCCCGCGATGCTGGAGAGAATGACACAATGGCCGCTGCTGCAACCACCAACGTCGCTGCCACACCTAACTCAACCACCGTCACCACCGCTAGCACATCCACGACCACTCCGATCACTGACGCAAGTATGTCATCGGCTGCAACAAGTGCAAGCACTCCTGTGTTCCAGTCGGAGGAAGAAGCTCGAGCGGCATCGCTACCGACAGCCGTCGCAGGGCCGGTGTATGCGGAAGTCTTTCTGGCCAAAAAGGTTTGTGAATCGCAGTGTGTTTTGTCTCCATGGAGATGGGCAATGGTGGTCTATACTGCTGTGGTGTTGTGTTGGGTCATGCAGAACTGTGTCTGGGGTAGTCTGTATATACAGGACCGGCGGAAGCAGTCTTTGATTGGTCCCGCCTTACCCTAGTCTCAGTTCATACAGTTTGTGTATGATATGTAGGATAGTCACATGACTTTCATACAGTTTGTGTATGATATGGAGGGTAGTCACATGACTTTCATACAGTTTGTGTATGATATGGAGGGTAGTCACATGACTTTCATACAGTTTGTGTATTATATGACGGGTAGTCACATGACTTTCATACAGTTTGTGTATGATATGTAGGGTAGTCACATGACCTACTCAGCTGAGTACACACATGTTGGAGGTCAAAAGGTTGGTGCGACCATGGCCTGACCAACCGGACCAGTTCCACCGGGCCAGATATTATAGCCAGGCAAACATGCATCTCTCTCCACTGGTGTGTTACATCAGGGTTTAATGCATCAGGGTTTAATGTACAGCAGGGTTTAATGTACATCAGGGTTTAATGTACATCAGGGTTTAATGTACATCAGGGTTTAATGTACATCAGGGTTTAATGTAGAGCAGGGTTTAATGTACATCAGGGTTTAATGTACATCAGGGTTTAATGTAGAGCAGGGTTTAATGTACATCAGGGTTTAATGTACATCAGAGTTTAATGTACATCAGGGTTTAATGTACATCAGGGTTTAATGTACATCAGGGTTTAATGTACATCAGGGTTTAATGTACACCAGGGTTTAATGTACAGCAGGGTTTAATGTACATCAGGCACTTGTATAGACCCAGGAGAGGACGCGGCACAGATTTCCGCGGACAGGGTTCGACTCGAGCTAATATCCGTGAATGTTTTTCACTGAGTACTCTCAACGCCGTTGAAGTTTTATGTCGCGACGACGAAGAGGAAACCGGCCTACCGAGGTGACCTCTTTCCCATTGTGAACAACTCTTTGCCTGATTTTAGAAAATTGCACAGTTGTTCACTGAGGCTAATCGAAGTGGGTAGAATGGAAGCGAGTGAAGCTGTGAGCGAGAAATAAAACAGGTGATTTCTCAGATTTTCTGGGCCCGACAGTGGGTGTGACGGACGTGGTGCATTCTGTTTGCCCAAACTCGACCACCACTCGATTCTTTCCAGGAACCCAATCTATGAACACAGTGGCACAATATGGCCGGGTTCTTTCTCGTTTCGATTAGTTTCTTCGAGGTTACCAGAGCCCATTCACTTTTCTTCCATCTTTTATGCCCAAGAAGTTGATTGTTCCAACTAGGAACACACGCTTCTTGCCGAATTTGACACTTGAATGACTCACGACTGCCATCCGGAGCACACGAGGAGCACGTCGCACCTTCCTTCGGCAAACCTGCAAGAAAGCACCACTCCCTGCTCAATACACAGTGTTTCGGGGAATTCACCCCTCATCAGTTGAGCTTGAGTAGGCTGAGGAAGATTGTGCCTGAAAGGCACCACTTATATACTGCTCTCCAGGCCAAACCATCACCAGGGATACAAACTTGCAGAGACGCTTTGTTTCCAGCACGACAAACACCTCGTGAAGCCCCAGGCATCAGCGTGAGTCCGAGTCTTCTAAGTTTGTTTTATGCCCAATACATCAAAATCCACGCCGAGTGATGTGATGGACGTGTTGTGTTCCTTTGATCCAACCTCGCCCAGCCGTTTCTCTCCTTTGGTCCAACCTCACCCAGCCGTTTCTCTCCTTTTGTCCAACCTCGCCCAGCCGTTTCTCTCCTTTGATCCAACCTCACCCAGCCGTTTCTCTCCTTTGATCCAACCTCACCCAGCCGTTTCTCTCCTTTGGTCCAACCTCACCCAGCCATTTCTCTCCTTTGGTCTAACCTCACCCAGCCGTTTCTCTCCTTTGGTCCAACCTCACCCAGCCATTTCTCTCCTTTGATCCAACCTCACCCAGCCGTTTCTCTCCTTTGATCCAACCTCACCCAGCCGTTTCTCTCCTTTGGTCCAACCTCACCCAGCCGTTTCTCTCCTTTGGTCCAACCTCACCCAGCCGTTTCTCTCCTTCGGTCCAACCTCACCCAGCCGTTTCTCTCCTTTTGTCCAACCTCGCCCAGCCGTTTCTCTCCTTTGATCCAACCTCACCCAGCCGTTTCTCTCCTTTGATCCAACCTCACCCAGCCGTTTCTCTCCTTTGGTCCAACCTCACCCAGCCATTTCTCTCCTTTGGTCCAACCTCACCCAGCCGTTTCTCTCCTTTGATCCAACCTCACCCAGCCGTTTCTCTCCTTTGGTCCAACCTCACCCAGCCGTTTCTCTCCTTTGGTCCAACCTCACCCAGCCGTTTCTCTCCTTTGGTCCAACCTCACCCAGCCGTTTCTCTCCTTTGGTCCAACCTCACCCAGCCGTTTCTCTCCTTTGGTCCAACCTCACCCAGCCGTTTCTCTCCTTTGGTCCAACCTCACCCAGCCATTTCTCTCCTTTGCTCCAACCTCACCCAGCCATTTCTCTCCTTTGGTCCAACCTCACCCAGCCATTTCTCTCCTTTGATCCAACCTCACCCAGCCGTTTCTCTCCTTTGATCCAACCTCACCCAACCCGTTTCTCTCCTTTGGTCCAACCTCACCCAGCCGTTTCTCTCCTTTGGTCCAACCTCACCCAGCCATTTCTCTCCTTTGATCCAACCTCACCCAGCCATTTATCTCCTTTGGTCCAACCTCACCCAGCCATTTCTCTCCTTTGGTCCAACCTCACCCAGCCATTTCTCTCCTTTGATCCAACCTCACCCAGCCATTTCTCTCCTTTGGTCCAACCTCACCCAGCCATTTCTCTCCTTTGGTCAAACCTCACCCAGCCATTTCTCTCCTTTGGTCCAACCTCACCCAGCCATTTCTCTCATTTGGTCCAACCTCACCCAGCCATTTCTCTCATTTGGTCCAACCTCACCCAGCCATTTCTCTCCTTTGGTCCAACCTCACCCAGCCATTTCTCTCCTTTGATCCAACCTCACCCAGCCGTTTCTCTCCTTTGGTCCAACCTCACCCAGCCATTTCTCTCCTTTGATCCAACCTCACCCAGCCGTTTCTCTCCTTTGGTCCAACCTCACCCAGCCGTTTCTCTCCTTTGGTCCAACCTCACCCAGCCGTTTCTCTCCTTTGATCCAACCTCACCCAGCCATTTCTCTCCTTTGGTCCAACCTCACCCAGCCATTTCTCTCCTTTGGTCCAACCTCACCCAGCCATTTCTCTCCTTTGATCCAACCTCACCCAGCCATTTCTCTCCTTTTGTCCAACCTCACCCAGCCATTTCTCTCCTTTGATCCAACCTCACCCAGCCATTTCTCTCCTTTGGTCCAACCTCACCCAGCCATTTCTCTCCTTTGGTCCAACCTCACCCAGCCGTTTCTCTCCTTTGGTCCAACCTCACCCAGCCATTTCTCTCCTTTGGTCCAACCTCACCCAGCCATTTCTCTCCTTTGATCCAACCTCACCCAGCCATTTCTCTCCTTTGGTCCAACCTCACCCAGCCATTTCTCTCCTTTGATCCAACCTCACCCAGCCATTTCTCTCCTTTGGTCCAACCTCACCCAGCCATTTCTCTCCTTTGGTCCAACCTCACCCAGCCGTTTCTCTCCTTTGGTCCAACCTCACCCAGCCATTTCTCTCCTTTGGTCCAACCTCACCCAGCCATTTCTCTCCTTTGATCCAACCTCACCCAGCCGTTTCTCTCCTTTGGTCCAACCTCACCCAGCCATTTCTCTCCTTTGGTCCAACCTCACCCAGCCGTTTCTCTCCTTTGGTCCAACCTCACCCAGCCATTTCTCTCCTTTGGTCCAACCTCACCCAGCCATTTCTCTCCTTTGGTCCAACCTCACCCAGCCATTTCTCTCCTTTGATCCAACCTCACCCAGCCATTTCTCTCCTTTGATCCAACCTCACCCAGCCGTTTCTCTCCAGAAAACTAATCTAGGGATACCAGGGCACAATCGGGCCAGGCTCTTTCGGTCTTTTTGCTGCTCCGCTGTCACTGGAAGCTTCTTTCTTTATCCTTCTTCTTCGATTTTGGGGTATTCTTCGAGTCACATCTTTCATACTCTTGTTCATTATATTTGGGAAAGCAGCTCTGAAAACTTGAAAAATTGTGAAGGAGAGGGAGAGGGAGAGGGAGAGAGAGAGAGAGAGAGAGAGAGAGAGAGAGAGAGAGAGAGAGAGAGAGAGAGAGAGGGAGGGAGGGAGGGAGGGAGGGAGGGAGGGAGGGAGGGAGGGAGAGAGAGAGAGAGAGAGAGAGAGAGAGAGGTAGTGAAGCAGATGAGTTCATCCTAGTTGAGGGTACTGCCTAACAGAAAGGCCAGGCTTAGCGATTTGAAAGTGGAGCGCTTTCTTTCGAGGCGTGCTGTGTCTGGGAGCTGGTTTCACAGGATAGCTCCAGCATGGCTAATGCGCTTAGCTGAGGATGCAGTGGTGGACACAGGAATGATGAGTAACCTGCTGCTCCCTCCTCGTGTTCGGAGAGAGGGACTACGGGTGAAAAAGCTTGCAAACAGAGTACTTGCACATTTGTTCAGGCAGCACCAAATGAGTACAAGAATGTGCATGTGGGTGTATATGCTGAGGGTATGGGCGTTCATGTGTTCAAGTAAGGGAGCTTTGTGTGTGCGAGGGGCTGCCCTGCACACCGAGCGAGCCGCACGTTTGAACAAACTATTTAGGCGCTTATCCTGATAAGACGATAAGAACCGGGCATAGGCAGCAGATGCAGAGTTAAATTCTGATAATATAATAATAATAATAAAAATAATAATTGTACAAGCCGAAAGCCAAACTCCTACAGTACTCCTCATGCATGACATTGTGATGAACTAGTTGACTACAAAACAAGTTGTTTCACACGACGTACGTTTGGCCGTATGGTTCGTGACGGCTCATCAGGTGTGCAATTTGAAAATCGGATGTTGAGCCATAATTATAGGTTAGTGCATGGCAGGGAGGGCCTTATGGCTTTTTAGTGCCCGATAGGTTAGCCTGAGGGTCGTAGGCCCGAGGGCAAACCTGAAGGGCACAAACAAGCCATAAGACCCTCCCTGCCATGCACTAACTATTTTAGAACGAGGTTACATGCATTATCTCACTTCCATTATGCTTGTGTACCACTATATTGGGTAGTTTTGTGGTTTGTGTGCAGAGAGACTTGGTGTGGTATGAAAGAATAGTTTCTTCTGGTAAGTTATGGTAACTCAGCACCACTTAGGACTACTAAAAGTAGAATGGAAGCAAATGAAATGCTGGGCTCTTATTGCGAGCTTCATTCTTATTCATATGTATGTAGCTTGTGGAGCTATTTAGGGGCTTTGAGAGCCCCTTGTCGATAACTCTAATGACTTTGATCCTCGCTTTTTATAGGTTTCCGCAAGCTGTTGACAAAGGAAATTCGTACAGATGAAAGAATACGGGAGGCAAAAACCGTACACACTTCTGAATTGCGTAGCTTTTAGTAGTACACCGTACACGTTATGCAGAGTTCATTATCTGCACCGTAGTATTATGCATACAGGGAGTTGTACGCACCAGCTTAGAGTATATTCAGCGGGCTTTAAACTAATCCAAGGCCCTCGACGCGTCATCAAGAGTAGTAAAATAACGATTGAGCGGGCTTTAAACTCTGATAAGGCCCTTGGCGGGAATGTCGCTGATTGATCGTTTCCTGGACAACGAGACAGACCTCGTTCTAAATAAATGTAGAAAGGAAAAGGACATAAGGATATGAGTTAAGAAACGGCCAAACGTACGCCGTGTGAAACAACTTGTTTTGTAGTCAACTAGTCCATCACAATGTCATGCATGAGGAGTACTGTAGGAGTTTGGCTTTCGGCTTGTACAATTCGTTTTCGCAAAGCTTCCCCTTTCTTTAATAATAATAATAATAATAACACAGTTCCGCATAATGGAACATTAATATTGTGCAACACTAATGTTCGGTCCGCTGCTGTCTCTTGATGAATCTTTCCGTTGTTCCAGTTCAGTATCATTAGTTGTAGACCATCGCTCTCCATGCTGGTTTGTCCCTTGTCCTCTCAGTCGCCAGGCCGAGATCCCACACTGTGGTGAAAGTCATTCCGGCCTCTCTCATGTCCTCCGCAGAGCTGGTTGCCAACGTCTTTCTTGGGCGCCCTGGCCGGCCTCGGGAGTCTTGGGTCAAGTAGATGTTCATGGCTTTGCGGGCGGGCGTGTTGGGGGACATTCTCAGGATGTTTCCTGTCATTCTCCTCCTTCGCTGTTTAATCAGGGTGGATACTGAAAAACTGAACACGGCAAGAAAAAGGCAAACATGGTGCTCTTCGATTTTGTAGCCCAATCTTAGCGGCAACGCGGCGTGCAACATGGCTTGTCATGGTGTTCCAGCTCAAGTCTGAGTCGAAATGTAGGCCAATATACTTGGCCGTTTTCACAACAGGCAGCGTCTGCCCATTACAAATGACATGCAGCTCAAGTGCTTGAGATGGGGATGGGGGAATAGGCAATATCTGTGCCTCTCTTTCTTTAAGAATTAAACCTCGACCCTTGTGCCAGGTGGCCATGTGCTGAACAGCAGCTGAAAGGTGTGCAGAAACAGCTTCCGGAGACTCCCTGCTACATCGTATAGAGATGTCATCAGCAAACTGGATTGCTCCCACATTAAACGGCGATAGTTCTTCTGCTATGCCGCAATACATAGCGCCCATAAGCGATTATGCTGCATACATAGCACCCATAAGTGGTTACTCTGTAGTTTGGAGTTGACAGGAGGGCATGCACATCGAAACCACGCCTTGTCAACGACCTGTTCTTTCTCAGTTTTCAACGACCACTACTCAGCCAAGAACAAAACAACAACGAAGCACAACGACACACCAACGCTGATGTGGCATCGCAAATCCAGTACCGTGCACGCAGGCACTGTGTGGAAACAGAAGAAAGATGCGCTGCAAGCGTGCCAAGCAGCGAGTGAGTGCAAAACGCGTACTAATGCTAGTCATGGCAACGGAAGATAAATTATGGAGATCGATCCGCACATGGTTCGATCGACAGCAGAGTACAAAAAAAAGCACACATTCAAACTGTGCAACAGAAGCAGAAGAGGAAAGCGAAAATGAACACTTGTCGTTCAGTGAAGAGCTTCTGTCCAAGGGTGCTCGCACCCGACGGGGTGACAGCGCCCCTAGTCAGACAATACAAGGCTAACACCTTGGTTCCCCTAGTCAGACAATACAACCGGGCTAACACCCTAACACCTTGGTTTTCAATAAATCTTATGATGTACATTCCTTGTTGCTTCAGCTTTTCCTCGCTCCGTTACAACGCCTCTCCCCATTTTTCTCCCTCTATTTATCTATCTTACTATCTATTTTGCTATCTCTCTCTCTCCCTCTCTCTGTCTCTCTCTCTCTCTGTCTCTCTCTCTCTCACTCACACACACACACACACACACACACACACACACACACACACACACACACACACACACACACACACACTCTCTCTCTCTCTCTCTCTCTCTTTCTCACTCACACACTCTCTCTCACACTCACACACACTCTTTCAAACAATGATGCGACTCATCTGTGTTTTCTGTTCTTTCTGTATTTCAGGTTGTAGTTCAGAGTAATTCGTTGCTAGGAGAGAGCAAGTGAATACAATTGTTTTCACATCTCCACTTCGAATCCATTCGCCATGACCGTCACTGCGTTACGCACTGCTACATGTTTCTCTCCTTGCAATTTTGAAATTATCATGAATGCGTTTTCCCCTTTGCATGTCATTCTTGTCTTCAATTTCCCCGCGCATGTCATTCTTGTCTTCATTTTCCCCTCGAGTGTCATTCTCGTCGTCCCTTTCTCTGACTGTTCTCCCATTTTCAGCATCGTGTGCATTCGTATTCTGCTGCGTGCACCGCGTATACTCGCCTTCTTTGTCCCACCTCTCCTTTTTTCCTTCACTTGAGCAATCATTTTGTGTGTCCTCAAGTGTGTCTGCTATGATTATTACTGTGAGGATGGGCTGGCATGTGGGCACGTGGAAGTGACTGTTTTGGCGTACGCGTGCCGCAATGTGTGTGTGTGTGTGGGTGCGTGCGTGCGTGCGTGCGGGTGGGTGTGTAGTAGTAGTAGTATTTATTATTTTACTAGGGCAATCCCCACAGACTGGTGTGTATGTGTGTATGTGTTGGCGACGTATGTATATACGTATGAGGAGGGGGCACCATGCATACATCCCATTGTACTCTACCCTATGCACTTCTCACCTCGTACACCTGGTGAGTTTGGATGACGTAATTCATTATTTGGGTGAAGCAGTTCAATTAATTCCGTGTGAGCAACCAGTTCTAATTTCATACTTTTACCTTGTAGGTCACACCAAGAGTAGATAAACAAGAGTGTGCAACTCGCGGATGGGTAGGCCCACGGCGGAATTTTTTGTTGACGTAATCTTTTCGACGATGCACGAGCTGCGAGTCTTTCGGAAAGTTTTCCCTCGTGCTCTTGGCCGGCTTTATACTACAAGGTCGGTGCCCAGCACGTGCTGTCACACTGCTCTGCGGCGAAATGCGCGTTCTTCTGAAAAAAGGTGACGTCAACAAAAAATTCCGCCGTGGGTGGGGGTATCTGCAGATTGTGCAGGAGAGATCCGGAGTTGCACACTCTTGTTTATCTACTCTTGGTTATACATACATACATGCATACATGCATACATACATTCGTACATATACTTATGCTGTCTGATGCCATGAGTGTTTTCACACGAAACTCGGAGTAACAGCAGAAAGAGACTTGTTTGATTCATTGCTGTGTAATATCTGTACATACATACATAAATACATACCTTGTAGGTTCTTGTGTGCATGCCCTACACCAGGATCGTTTTTCTGAAACCGCTCTCAGAGCGGTTTTTATATAAAAATAAATAAAATAAATTCGACGAGGTTCGCGTACCGGGCAGGTCAAGAACAAGGAGTCGTACAACTCCCTGGTCAAGAACCACCTTTCCGCTTCCGTGGGACGCCACCACCCCATGATCAGGCGTCAGATGCGGCTCCTAGACGGTGGGGGAGGATAGATCACCCACCAACCAGAGGCCAAAGGCCTCGATCCCATTTGCTGTCCTTCCAGGAAATCGCGATTCCACGGACGCAACAAATTTCGCGATTTTGGCCCAAACCCGCGATTTTCTGAAAAATCCGCGATTTCCCGCGTTTTTTGTTGTTTTCTGCACTTCTTTTGACATTTTTCTGCACTTTTCACGCAGTATACAGTGCTTTCCATGATCCTGCTCGTAGGTTATTTCCACAGTACGCAAATAGCGATTCTAAGGATACAACAAATTTCGTGATTTGGCCCAAATCCGCAATTTTCTGCCAATAATTCCGCGAGTTCCTGGCAAGTTCCGCACTTTTCGCCGCATTTTTTGTTGTTTTCTGCCGCAATTTCTTGCGCAAGTTTTCGAGGATTTTTTCCGCAAATTCCCGCAGGGACAGCATTTGCCACATCCATGCATTACTCATGCCAGGCCACGAGTTCCCAATTTACTGTGGGTCGCAGCGCGGTTGGAAAAATCCTTCCGCTTCCAAGCAGGACTTGAACCTGGTACCTCTCGTTTCTCAATCATGGTCTTAGACCAACCCACTGTGCCTGCCTGCATGGTTTTTATATGGATTATTAGAAAAGCTTTCTGTCTGAAGCCTTTGCATAGGTCGGGAGGGCACACAGGATCACAGCAAGGCGTTTGATCGCGTCCAGCATCAACAGTTACTCGTTGCGCTCCATGGCATGGGTGTTCATGCAAGCGCCCTGCGTTGGTTTGCGTCGTATCTCGCCGGGAGATCTCAGCGTGTCGTCACGCAAGCCAGCCAGTCTTCAAGTCTTGCAGTGTCTCGAGGAGTTCCTCAGGGAAGTATTTTAGGCCCTACCCTTTTTAATGTCTACCTGAGGGACCTTCCCCGGCTTGCGGAGACAGCGGGTTCAACTGATGTTCGCAGATGACAAGACAGTCTACTCTAGTGATCCGTCGAAGGCGCGTTCCGAAGCCAAGTTGTCATCGGCACTGGAGATACTAAACAACCACCTTGGCTCCCTTGGCATGCAGATAAATACCGACAAAACCGTTGTCTAGCAAATCCATCCCAAGCGTGCCACAGGGAGTCAGCAACAACAACAAAGGCAACAACTGGAAATCGCCTTGTCAAATGTCACGCTAGGGGAAGTGGAAAGCACCAGATGCCTAGGAGTCGTTGTTGACAATAAGCTGTCCTTTGACCAACACATTAACAATGTCGTCCGGAAAGCCTCACGGAAGATCGTTGTACTGCGCCGATCTTTCCGCCAGATGAACCTGTTTGCCCGCCGTACTTTCGTTGTCGGTGTTATTCAGCGTGATCTAGAATATGCTCTCCCTGTATACCTTTCGTTTATATCCTTTAAAAATATTTACAAGCTAGCCTCACTCCACCGGCGCGCTGTACGAGTTGCTTGTGGCGCATCACCCCAAGCTAATATCACGCCACTTCTTCACCACCTCAATGTTTCCTCTTTCCAATATCGATTTAAGCCGGCTGTTTGCTTGCAGTCCCTCTTTCCCATCTGTACGTCTACCCTAACTACTCGCGGCTCAACAACTCATGACATAAGTATCAATCGCTGTAGATCTATGTCTGGCTTTCTGTCCTTTTCAAGTAAATCGGCTCTTGTTGGGAATTATTTACCAGACGACCTGAAGTCCTGCACTACTATCGCAGATTTCCGCATCAAATTGGCTATTTGGCTAAAAGACAGCTTAACTCTTAATCATTGTTGTGATTTGCTTTCAAGCAATGTGCATAATCAGTAAATTGATGTTGCTGGTTTTTTTTGGTTTTTGGTTTCCCGTTCTCGGGGCCTTCTATTCGGTACTCTTTGTAGTCGTACTTCTGTACTGTTGAGCTATCCGAATTCAAATAAACACTAAAAAAAGCAATGGGAAGCTGATGTACCATATTACAGTACCCTGAAGCGAACCTTTGCCCTGGATTTGGGGCAGAGTTATGTGCAACATCCAACATAGGGTAACAACACCACTAGTCGAGGAGCAGACCTCCATCAAAGTACTCGGCGTCACGTTTGACCATCAGCTAAAATTCAGCCAGCATATCCGAACTGTTGTAGTCCGAGCAACGCAGAGACTTGGAGCCTTGCGCAAGGCATTATTATTATAAATAATCTACGTGGAGACAATAATTTTAATATGGCAATAAGTAGGACGAGCTGAAGCGACATGTGGACTACTTTATTAACAATGTAAGCGATGGAGACGATGCAAGACACAACCTAAAGGGTAAGGAAAAATACATGTAAGAAGAAAAAGGGCAATGGAAAAAAAGATGATTCGAACAAGTTTTCGTACAACACTCTTCAGGAATCACCGTTGTACTAAAGAACAAAATGAGAACAAAGGAAATAATATAGCAATCAAGGTAGGGTGACACGATACAATGACAGCACTGGAATATCGAGGTGCGATTTCTCACAAAAGTGTGCAGAAAACAAGGGTATACAAGTAAGAACTAAGCGTGACAAGTGTATATCAGCAACAAAAACAAAAAAAGTGAGAACGAATGATAATAATTAAACAATAATAAACAAGAAGGTGACAAAACACGTTTAGGCACAAGTGGGTAATAACACTATCTTTCTGGACACACAAATTCGGCTTATGAATGCGCTGACAAACAGCTTCCAAAACTTGTAACTGCAAAAGATAACCATGACGAGCACGGCACAAAACAGAAAAACAGGAATCAGAATAAGTACGACAACAGTCAGTACTAGAAACCAAATGATTGTATACTGAAGACTTGTTATTACGAGACGGACGCACACAATCTCGACTCACGCGCACACCCTCACACTCACTTTCACCCTCACTCAGCTCACCTTCTCCCTCACTGTCCGAATCAGAACCTGCTCCGTCATCCACAGCGGTTTGACTCTCCTCCTCACTTGCATCGTCCTGCGTCTCACCTTCACCACCCACGCCAACCGTGAATGCCGTTGCCTTCATGTCAGTCGTCGTCCTTTCCGATTGTTTCCTTTGTATTTTTACCGTGAATTCATAGGTCCGGATGTAATCTGCTGTAGATCTCCGTGGTCTGTCATTTGCTGCTTTGGTTTGTGGATTAGTTGTTGTTGTTGTTGGATGTGAACCTGGTGTTGTTGTTGGATGTGAAGCTGGTGTTGTTGTTGCAGCCATGGTTGTTGGTCTTTCTGTTGAATCCAGCTCTAGTTCCGGTGGGACAAATCGACCGCCGCGGGTGCTCTCCACCAACACAGACCTCGAATGAGGAGGGTCAGGGGGAGGCAGAGGTGCTGTCACCACTCGAGGCACAGCCCCATGCAAATCACCCAGAGGCACAGACTTAGGCACACCCGAGGGCTGCACCAATGGCGGTTCCGCACGCACCTCCAAAGAGCTGCCAAGCTCAAGCCCGTCCAACACAGATGTCAGAGGGGGAGCGGCAGACAGCGGCAGGGAACTATCCTGCCGTGTAGGTGATGGGTTTTTCCTAGGCCCCCCGCGTTTGGGCCTCTCAGATTGCGCACTGGGTGGAAGGATGTGAAGTGGAGTGTGTTGTTTGATGCGTGCGTTCAGGTGCTGAACAGTCATACCAACATACCGACTAGCACAATGTCGGCATTCGAAGTTGTAGATAACATGACTGAGGTGGAGGGTTGGTAGGACGTCCTTCCGCACCGTGAACGCACTTATTCTGATTCCTGTTTTTCTGTTTTGTGCCGTGCTCATCATGGTTATCTTTTGCAGTTACAAGTTTTGGAAGCTGTTTGTCAGCGCATTCATAAGCCGAATTTGTGTGTCCAGAAAGATAGTGTTATTACCCTTAAATTGTTCAAATAATGTTCTTTTGTGTAGTGTGGCAACGTTGTTGTCACTTGTGCCTAAATGTGTTTTGTCACCTTCTTGTTTATTATTGTTTAATTATTATCATTCGTTCT